AAAAAGATATACAATCACAGAATGCAAAATATTGGTGGTTATGGGTTTTATCTGGCCATATATTATGGTTGCATGTTGTTGATCAATATAGGATCGTCCATTGTCGACGTTAAAACGTTTTTTTCAGTTTTTTGTAATGATTTTTTTTTTCTTGGCAAGGAAGATTTATGTCAAAAGAGAGTATGCTTAAAAAACAGAATGATATCCCAAAAAAGACGATTTTTTTTTTTGATCAAATTTCCAATCAAATAAAAACGCCATATGTGTTTGTTAGTGTTAATGTTGGGTACTTTTTGAAAAAATTGTTTTTTTTTTTTTTTTTTGGTTAATTTTCTTTGGACTTTTGGATGAGGATAGATAAGGGAGAAAATTGGTAAATTAATAAACAAAATTAGTGAAATTATACTTCAGTGAATATTGGTGAAAACGTAAAAAAAAACATTTGGTATGTTGTAAAGAAAATAGATTAAATGGTCATTATCAAACAACTTTTAAAACCGGTGACTATAAATTATAATGGCAGAGAATAAGGACCTGAAAAAAATGGAATTATCGTCACAGCTTGACGAGATTGGAATCATTAAAAGGAAAAATTTATTAAACACAAGAATTCAATCAAATTGAAAATCTTGTCCATTTTTTCATTTCTAAATTTCAACAAGATGAATTCTTGATTAATGAATTAGCAAGGTACATTGTATATCAGCAACATCAACTTTTCAAAAAGGTTGAAGAGCTGGACCGTGTTCAAATTATGGAAAACATCGTCCACAGCGAAGTTATCGAAAAATTTAAGAACATCAAAAAGGAATTCAGTCGTTTGGAACACGAGATTCAGGTCAACAAGCTAATGACTTATCTGCAATCTCATTTCCAACAAAATGAATTTTTAATTAATCCTAAACATCCATGCGAATGAGATAAACCCAAAATATCAAATATTTCAGGCTGATCCTTTTTTCCTTTTAACCAATGACCCAAATAATCCCAAAAACCTTTGTTNAAAAAATAACATCAAAATTATATAACAAGCCAGTAGGATTTGGTTTTCTTACTTTTGATTCTCTACAAACTTCAAATATACTCAACTTTGATTATGAATCTGAAGAAACAATTTTAGCCCACGAAGTGGCTTTATCTTTAAAGTAAATATAATAAAGTAATCTCAATTTAAATTCTTTGAAACAAATTGGACTTTAGGAAAAACAAGTCCAGTAAGCCAATAGGATACTCAATTATTGTATTCTGAATTGGCCAATTGGTTTAACAAAATTTTGTGCAATGATCCAACGATTTTCCATTCAAGAAAACTTCAGGGAGTCGTTTTTAGACCTGATTACCAAACTAGAAGACCTGATGAAATTGAACTGCAACGAGATATTGACGGATTCATCGCCAAATACCCCAAATCAAACGGAATCTGGGGAATCCATGCCGCCGGAACAAGCTTTGCCCATATCCATTGGTTGCACCTCTGCAACAACTATCATCGACAGGACTGTAAATGTAGAATCACCACCTTCATCCGACAGCAAAGGTTCTCTATCAAGTGGGACCGAAAATTTGCAACAGAACATCTCGTCAGCAGATTGGTCTCCACAATTATATATTTATTCCAATCAGAACGGAAATATCTGGCAATTCAATTCTTTGGAACAGGTCGGACTATCCCGAAGATTTGTACAATCGAATTGAAAATTATCGAAACACAAAATGGGAGTCGTCGGGTGAGTTTTCACTCGAAAGAAAATGTATTGAATGGTTCGCCAAAACATACCATGTTCCAGAAAATTGTGAATCAATACAACCAAACGAAAGAAACTATGATGACGAACATGCAAGGGACGAATTCAAAATATGTAATAAAACGATCAACCACCTCTACGAAAAGGTCAAGGAAATAATTCAATCAAGATTTCTTAATAATTTAACTGAATTGCAAAAGCTGAAAGAATTTAAAGAATTAACGAAAGAAATCCGAATACCTAGATCAAACGAGTACACAGGAAGACCTGAAAGAATTCATAAATTCTTTCGAGATGCTGAGACGTACATAGACGGTTAGACATATTATTATTGTCAAATTGACTAATTTAGTTCAAAATAACTTGGCATGGATGTCTGCACAGAGAATAAATGTGCAACAACAACCAACAACTTTTGGCCCAGGAAGCTATTGTCCACCTACATCATTTAATCAAGAAGATCAAGTGACAGATGCATGGCGTAGACCAATAGCAATGCCACCAGTTGATTATACCAAAACATTTAAAATCAAAGAAGTTGATATTGTTCCAAATTTTGATGGAAGAGCCAGTATTGCAGCAGTTGGTCTTGTTAATTTATTCAGTTCAAATAGTGATGGTTATGATCCAGCATTGGGAAAACTGGAACATCAAATTAACCAGAAAATGTTGGCAATAATCAAGAAACTTCATGATGATTTATATGAAGTAAGATCCGAAATTGAATCCGAAAGAATTATGACCATGTTGAATATTAAGTTCAGCGAATCCCAAAGCCAAATACATCAAGTATTTAACCCGGAAAATGCAAAATTTGCATCGTCATTGGAATTGCTATTTCCCGGAATAACAATGGGAGAAGATACTCCTAAGAAGTATTGGCATATGGAAAGTTGCAAAATGATAAACGCAGCTATGGGAAGAAAGACAAAATTGGTCATAAATATTAACGGAATTCGGATTGACGAAGATTATACGTTATTGCGAGCTGACCCTTTCCAGATTGCAGTAACGGAACCAAAGAATTTGACTGGACATGAAGAGGTGTGTTTTTCGAAATATTTTGGTCCTCAGTATGTGGTTTATCAAGAAAAAACGGGATGTTCAGCAGAGATAATTTTTGATCCGATAGAAGAACATCAGACACCGTTTGTTTTCCACTCACCAGCTTGCAGACATGCTATGAAGTCTGTAGTAAAACAGTGGAAGAAAACCAAATGTATGCCACAAGATCAGATCATACCCGAGGAGATTGTCCAGGTCAAAATGGATAATGAATTCGTATACTATTATTGTTATACCCAGAACACAACAATTATGGGTAACGAAGAAAAGTGTGCAAATAAAATCTATAAGATCAAGAAGGGGAAAAATGTAACCATTAACCATCAAATTATAAAGTTCCACAAGGTCAGGATGGAACTGTTCACGAACATAGATACTGATCTCACAGATGCGGTGAACAACAAAATTTTCCGACAGGACGACGCCGAGATCGCGTTGAATCATCTAGAGAAAATGATTCAACAAGAAGATCAACTAGTGGTTAAAATCACTAGTTCATATCTACGGTATTACTTATTGTGGACTGCTGCAATTGTTGCAAGTGTGGCATTACTGATTGCATTATGTTACATATTCTATCAGTGGAAGAAGTCCGTAAGATACCGCACGATGCGTCGAGAAAGGCTGGAAAATGCCTTACGCAGTGAGATGATCAGCATGACTCAAGCATAGGAGTAGTCATGGATTCAGTCCAGAGGGGATGAAGGAATTGTACAGTGAATGATAGACAATCGATTCAGAATCTGTATATAAAGCAATGAACCTCTCTTGGAAGAATTATTTTTCATCAATAACGACAACGAAAATTATGTCAACAATAATGGAGAAAACAACATTGAAAATTTCATCGAAAATGATTTTCAATATTTTGTTAATCTTGAATTTATTTGGCACGGTGATGACATATCAACAACATTATCATGATATGTCAGATGATGACATTCTACGAATATGGAATAAGAACCGTAATTTTGAGAAACGTCGTTTCTAACTGGTGATATCAAGATTCACAAGGCTAACAAAATATAGTCCCTGAAGAAATTGTCCAAGTAAAGATGGACAATCAATTTGTGTATTATTACTGCTACACCCAGAATACTACCATAATGGGTATTGAAGAGAAATGCCAGAATAAGATTTACAAAGTCAAGAAAGGTAAAAACATCACCATAAACCATGAAGTGATCAAATTCCACAAGGTTAGGATGGAACTATTGACAGATTTGAAATCATTGGACGTACCACCTTCAGTTCATCGAATAACTGAATTGGCTAAAAATAATGATCAACCAAAAGAAAATGCAAAAACAGACGAAGAAACAACCGGTATAAACATTGGTTGTGGTTCGAATACCACAAATAATGGATCAATTAAAGACAAAATAACTTGTGTCTTCCGACTACAACAAGAAAGAACATTTGATTTCATCGTCGGAATGATGAGTGCCCTTACGTTCAACATGATTTTGTACTTATTGGTTATGGCCTGCAAAATGGTAAAACGTAAATTTTTCCCGTGCCATTACCGTTTTCCTCCACCACCACCACCTCCAGAGGAACCAATCATGTTGCCACCGTTGATTCAAGTTTGATACTTGAATTTGTTTCTTTTTCCTGTTTTTTTTTCTGAACAATTAATAATTTCATTGAATAATAACCAAAAATAAAAATTTTCAAAAATCTTTTCATTAACAAAGAAAACGTGTTATTTCAAAACATTAACTTATTTTTAGGAATGATATCAAAAAGGCATTGTCGAAAAAAAATGATATCTAGGAACATTCTGTCGCCGATAAAAACACGTTGTTTTTACAAATTGCATGACAAAGAGTAGGGGAATAATTGCATGAACGAAGTTTTTCCCTATCAGTTTTAGAAAAAAAGAAAAAAAAAGCATGCACTTTTTCTTTGGAAAAACATTGTATATAAAAAAAATGTAATTTCTTTTTGACCAGACACATTAATTTTTTTTATTTGAAATCAATAATAATTATATTAACCATTAATTTTTATTGATCTATTATTAATTAATTTTAGTCATTGTAAATCACAGACAAACATTAATTAATAATAATAATAATTGTATAGGAAACAAAGGATACAGAATATTGTTTTCAGCTAATGATTTTTCATACGGCGACCAAAATCCGCGAGGGGAAACCCGCCCAAAGTTTTGTTTTAGTGGGGGGGATGTTATGTATCGAAGATTCTGTCCTGATATTTACGAATGGAATCAAAGAAATTTTAATCACCATGGCAACAAGTCGATTGAAATCGAAGACAATTATGATGTGATCGAATGATTGAAGAATTCTAACAAAAATGCCAGCTTTTTGGAGAAGTTTGATCGGCTCCGATGTTCAGCATTGTACATAAAGCAAGTCAAAAGACCATTAAAGAGATATTGCAAGGAAGTACATGTTGAAGATGAAAGTCACGAAATTACAAAAAGAGGAGTAATCAGTATAGCATACAATGCAGTAAAAGTGGTTATTTCCGTTCTCGCTGTAATTGGACTAGTTAACATTTTTGGTTCCCATAATGATGGATATGATCCGGAATTGGGTAAGTTAGAACTTGAAATAAACCGAAAAATGTTTGGAGTTATCAGGAAACTTCATGACGAACTATATGAAGTAAGATCTGAATTAGAAGCTGAAAGAGTCATGACCATGTTAAGCATTAAATTTAGTGATTCGGAAAAATTGATTCACCAAATCTTTGACTCTGAGAATCCACGTTTTGCAAACGCATTAGAATCATTGTTCCCAGGAATTACTATGGGACCAAACACACCGAAGAAATATTGGCATATGGAAAGCTGTCTTTTAAAACAAAAAGGAATAAAGACAAAATTGATTATTAATGTAAATGGCATAAGAACGGATCAAGATTATACCCTATTGAGAGCTGATCCTTTTTATTTAGCAGTAATAGAACCGAAAAATTTAACAGGACATGAGGAAATATGTCTCACGAAATATAACGGTCCACAATATGTGGTATATCAGGAAAAAACTGGTTGTTCAGCAGAAATCGTGTTCGATCCAATAGAGGAGCATCAGACACCATTTGTTTTCCATTCACCAACTTGCCGACGGGCAATGAAATCTGTGGTGAATCAATGGAAAAAAACAAAGTGTATGCAACCAGATAAAATTATACCAGAGGAAATTGTCCAAGTAAAGATGGACAATGAATTCGTGTATTATTATTGCTACACCCAGAATACCACCATAATGGGTGTTGAAGAAAAATGCCAAAATAAGATTTACAAAGTCAAGAAAGGTAAAAACATCACTATAAACCATGAAGTGATAAAATTCCACAAGGTCAGGATGGAATTATTTACAAATATCGATACGGACCTCACTGACGCAATCAACAGCAAAATTTCCCGCCAAGATGACGTCGAAATTGCTCTGAATCATTTAGAAAAAATGATTGAGCAAGAAGATCAACTAGTGGCTAAAATCACTAGTTCATATCTACGATATTATTTAATTTGGACTACAATAATTGTAATAACTATAGCATTAATTATTGCAATATGTTATATTTGTTACCAAAAGAAGAAGTCTATAAAATATCGTGAAAAACGTCGGGAAAGGCTGGAGAGTGCATTGCGAAGTGAGAGGATTGCAATGACAGCAGTATAGATGAATGCTGTGNTTCCGCCAAGATGACGTTGAAATTGCTCTGAATCATCTAGAAAAAATGATAGAGCAAGAAGATCAACTAGTAGCGAAAATCACTAGTTCGTATCTACGATATTATTTGATTTGGACTACTGCAATTGTAATAACTATAGCATTAATTATTGCAATATGTTATATTTGTTACCAAAAGAAGAAGTCTATAAAATATCGTGAAAAACGTCGGGAAAGGCTGGAGAGTGCATTGCGAAGTGAGAGGATTGCAATGACAGCAGTATAGATGAATGCTGTGGAAAAAAAAATGAATTCAGAGGGGGGTGAAATGTCAATGCAGAAAAATATGGGAATCTGTTGGAATGACATATAAAACGAACACACCACCCTAGAAAATTCATCATTATCGAATGAAAATCAATATCAACAAGATCATTGATAACAACAACGACAAAACAAAAATTCAATGATGAAAATGAAAATCATTGTAATTAATATTATAATAATCATCGGAGTTGTTATGTCACAATACTCTGATGAAGATATTCTATATCAATGGAATAAAAAACAATTGACCAAATCAACAGTACCATCCATCGTCCTTATGAAGTATTTACGGAATCAGCAGATAAACACCTATTCCAAAAGCCATTTTTCAATTATTTAATAATTTATCGATCTGTAATGATTGTCCATCAGAAAACTGGCATTTAGAAAGTTGCAAAATATACGCTGCAAGAGAACCATCAGATTCTTTACTACGATTGAATATTAATGCAATTCAAAATTGACAAAAGATATGAAATTCTTCGCGTAGATCCATTTCACTTAATCGTGAATGATAAACTGAACTCGGAAGAAATCGTCCAAGTGAAGACTGATGAAAACTTCGTATATTATTATTGCTTCCTACACAACATCACATTACAACATAATTTTTATCCATGCAAGAATCAAATTTATAAATCAAAATTAGGACAAAATTTGACAATCAATAACCAAACAATTAAATTTCACAAAATCAAAATTAACATTATCCATAATCTGCATGATGAATTTAACGAATTAATCAATTTTCGAATTTTCAACAATTTTAACTCGTCAGTAAATCTTCAAGATTTAACAACATTGGTCGAACAAGAAGATAAACTGATAGATAAAATTGTCGTTTCGTATTTCTCCCAATATTATTTATATATCATAATTACAATATTAACCATAATAATTTTAATAACAATGATGCTCTTCACATATTATCGCATAAGAGCCAGGTCATATCAACGAGTGGCTCGTGAGCAATATCAATTGGCTCATTTACGTCTGTCTAGATCATGAATTTGAAGATCGATAAATTAGTAAGCATAAATTGTTATATTAAATACCCCCTGAATTATATTCTTTATATATTGTTAACCAAAAATCATTATAATTTATAAACCAAAAAAATTTTCGAAAACAACAAAACATTTGGTAAGAATGTCATCAATGAAAGGTCCTTTATTTTCCTACTTTTCTCTTAATACATTTTTTTTTTTATTCTTTCTTTTCTATTTTTCCAAAAAAAATTTTTTTTTTTTTTTTTTTTTGATGAGCACACCAAAAAAATTTTCTAAATTTTCCTTTTCCTCAAACAACACACACAATTCAACGTTTTAAAGTGTTTCATCATTATTACAAATTCATTGAACACCAAAAATATTTTGTTTTAAAAACAAAAACAAAAATTCAAAGAAAAATGGAATTTAAAATTCTTTTTTTTGTATTGTTTGCATCAACAATAATTATTGATGGTACAATTTTGGAAATCAATTTCAAAGAAACAACGAGTATCGAAACAGTAACCATCAGCCAAAATACCTATTTCCAAATGATGAGCAATTTCGATCAAATTGTAAACAAAATTAAATCAGTTTGTCAATCCAACATCAATCAACAAAATCAAAAGGTCTTGGCAATCTTTTCTATAACCAACATATACGGGAAAATGATAAAAAGAGAGACCGAATATCAAGAAAAAATTGAAGTGTTAGATATTGCGTCATGGTATTACCATCAATCCGTCGGTTACGAACCAACCGAATTTAAAGTAATGGAGTATTTCAATCAAATTCATCTCCATGCAAATCAAATTGTTTCCAACGGATTTAATGTTAATGACTGGTTATATGGCCTATTTAAATGTGCAAATTGTCCCACCATTAATTACCCGTCAAAATGCAAATACGTAGATCCATTAAAATTAATCATCGAAATTCTTGATAATCCACCACCAAATAATCAACAAACCAATCGAATGAATTTGGTCAACAACATCAACAATCAAAAACCAATTTTGGATGTACCTGTGCAAGATGAAAGCAACACCGAAGATGCCTCTGATATAGTATACGATGAAGACATAATGGATAAGGATGATCAGATCAATACGATGAATCAAACCAATGATGATGATGGAAAATATAATAAATCGAATGGAAATAACAATGATGGCAAAATCAACGGAAAGGATGCTAACGATGAAAATGGCTATAATAACTCATCCATAATTAACGACCAATCAAACGAACAACAAAATGATGATAAAGTTGGATCAGAAAATAAATTTAAATTTCAATTCGACACAGCCCAACTTTTTAAATTTTCGATCAATGATATAATGACAAACATTTCATTGGCCATCATCACTTACTATGTGATAAAAATTTACCGACGCACACAAATCATGCAAGATTATATAATATTACGAAATGAAACAAACTAAAAGTTGATCCGAAATTTGGTTGAATCACTGAACATCAGCATTTAATTTTTTTTGAAACATTTACTTTTCTTTATCATTTCTTTTCTTTATCATTTCTTTTCTTTTCTTTATCAATAAAAATATTTTTTTTTTTGTTGTATCCCTTTTATACACCATATTTCCTTTTTCAATATAATCAAATTTTAATTGAACTTTTCTAGCAATTAAGTTATCAACGAATCATACCTGCCCAAATTCTTCAAGTCTTCACGCCTAGCAACCATCATAAGGTGGGGGGATGTAATAAACACACCCTATTTATTCCATTTGGACATCACCTGAAGAATGCAGATTGCTTAAGGCCAAAATTTAAAAGTTCATTTCACCACTGGGGATCTTTAAAATTACGATCTTTAGATGGCAATCAAGATAGATGAAGATTTATTGCAGTGTAGGTCATACCCATCATAAATACCTAAATTGATTGCTAGATAGTTCAAAATCATGACCTGTCCGAATGAACAAATATCAATTGGAAAGAACCAACGATATCCTGCTACGAAAATCTAATCATTTTTAGCAATCAATCTTGACAGGCATGAACTTTCCCACGGGTTTTCTTTAAATAAAAATCACGATTCTTTTCTCTTTTTCTTTTAACATTCTTTTCTTCTAAACATTGACCATCCCAA